TTAGTTATTGTGTGTATGTGTGAGACTTAACAGTAAAATGCATATTAACTTAACTTATCTAACATTTCAATCTCATCGCCAAAACTGAAGTCATGTTTTGTTACCCAAAAAAGTGTTGCACTCATACGGTATGTATAGAGATGTGGTGGGGCTGTCATGTCATACAGATAAAGGGAATGGCATATAATAGTCGATCAAATGGCAACTACTCTGTGATTACTTTGCATTTATCTTATGATTCAGTGTTTTGTGTGAGAGATAGTGATTTGGTCATGGTATTTTCTACCCATAACAAAACATACCGACTGTCGGTGTAAGCGTTATGCATATAATATACAAATAGACATACCGGTGAGCATGGTCATACAATTGGCGAATGCAACGGTGCAATGCATGTCCAATTTGAATGCAATTTGTGTTGATTTGACAGCTATTTCTTGAGTGAACTCACAATCACTTTATGAAAACCACTCAAAGCGGCCCTCAATTCGGCACTTAAGAGCCAAATATGCCGACGCTTTCGGCCTTTGATTATGATTTGAGTGAATCACTCGCTCTTCAAAAAACAATCTCTCTCTCTCTCTCTCTCTCTCTCTCTCTCTCTCTTCTCGTGCCTAATCTCTCACCCAATTGTATGGAAAGTATGTTACGTCTTGAGCCCTATCTCTAAGCCATTACTTTTTATTTTGTAGCACTTCTTCAGATGGTATCTCTCTATCTCTTCCATTCTTATCGATACATATCTCTCGACTCGATCTCTACTTGTTTTTTGTGTGTTTTCTCGATGTTTAACTCCACTTAACGATAAAATAAAGCATTTAGTGTACAGTAAAGCCAATAGTGAATAGGCGTTCAAAGCCGGGCGCACACGCGGGCACACCGTTTGCACAGGTATTTCAATTAGTACTTCAAAAAGTAATCAATGATTGTATTTATAGATGAAAACGTTATGAGAAAATAAGTCAATTTTCTTTTCATTTTTTGTTTGATAGGTTTGGGGCCACTGTTGGCTACCCTATGCTCAACATATTTACAATTTTTTATTAGGTTTAACTTTTAAAACATCTAGTTTAAAATTAAGATTTAATAATAATATTTAATAATAATAAACCAATTTTTGAGGTTTAGTATAATTTTAATTATTTGTTTGTTTATTGTACATTACCTCAGATTTAATATCTTAATTAAACATAATTGACATTATTTACTTGTATTTGTGAATTTGGACAAATTTAGAAAATAATTTCAATTCAACTATAGTATAAAATAACAAAATGAGCTTAAAGTTCAACGATTGGTATTAAAGTCAACTAAACTCTAAAGTATTTCATACATGGTAATTGTTTCCAATTTATTCAGTATTAAAATCTTTATTCTATTTTACAATTTAATAACTCAATGACAATAAAACACTTATAAAAAGATTAACAATTTTTTTTATAAGAAATGCAATAAATTTATATATTTCTTTCAATAATAATGAAACATATTATTAGCAAACGATTCCTATTTTTAATAGTAATAAAAAGCCTTTTATTTCTTCAATATTATTAATAACAGAATAAAAACATTTTATTTAAAGGAATTAATTTTTGTTTATTAGAGAAAATTGAAATAAATTTCAGTAATAATACTACTCTATTAGCAATTTTAGGCCAATTATTGTGTTGTGTTTGGATTCAATAAAAAATCAATTTTTACAACACAAATAAAAATGCTTTCATATATATCTCATTGATTGCCAAAATAGGATGTGAAGGGCAATAAAATAGTGACAAATTAATTGCTGAATGGAGTCAATAGCGCCTACCATTGAGGCCAGTCTTACGTACTTTACTGTACATTAGGACCTGTAATGATTGAAAAGGACAGACCTATTGTTTGGCCAAACAAAATATGTGATACAATAAACCGATAGATAGGCGACTCTCGAACATCCAGAAGCCATAATACAATTTTTATATCACTTTTGTAAACATTGTTTGGCAATAAACTAGAGCCGTGTCTGACATCGTTGGTGGCCCTCCTCACCACTTAACCATACCATACGAGCCCTCATATTCACTACCAGTATATTTATATACATGTATATTGAGTTAGTGAGAGGTTAGGCCCGGGCGTACAGTTTTTCGGACGGGTGTGAGAATAGGGAGAACAAGACTTACGCCACAGGAATATAATATTTGCACTTTTTTTCTCAAAAGGATTTTCGCCATTCTTACGGGCCTTTCAATATATACCTAATAATAAGTAATAATACGAATATTTCTAAATATATACCTCATGTTATGTATGATGTGTTATATAAACTTGACGGATGTTAAGTGTGTTGGCACTGGTGTTAATAATCTCTCTCTCTCTCTCTCTCTCTCTCTCTCTCTCTCTCTCTCTCGTATTGCATCTTTGGTTTGTATTTTGAACACAAATCTCACATCAATTCTGGTGCCAATGCCTGCAGTGAACACAATCTGACAAAAGCGGTGACGGATTAGTCCCTCTCTTATATATATTCATATGAAGAGCTAATTAGTAGAGGCTATGATTTGCGCTCAACTTATTTGGGAACCAAATTTTGCTTCAAAAACATGTATATATACAGTATATACTGAATATGAATATTTTTACAACTAAACTGGCGGTTGGCCCTTAAATTTAGCAGAAAATTGTTGTTTAGATATATTTTATATCACAAACACTGCACTGTATGCAATTTGGTTGAGGTCAACCCATAAGTTATATATGAAATGATTGATAAATAAGAGTAAATAGAAATTATTATAAAATTTTCTCCTCCACTCCTATTCTGTAAGTTATTTGGCAAATAACAAACTCTTTTATGACATAATCTATGGTTTGCATTTTACACACAATTCAATTGTAACCAAAAATACATTTGTCTATTCAATTGTTATTTCCATTAAGTCAACAAATAAACAATTTTTTTCACTACATTTGGACTATTTCTCAAATCATACCTTTAAATGAGAGTCTGTTTTCCATCCAAACAACACAATTGAATAAAACATTTTCGTATAAAGTATTTGTCAAAAATTTGAAAATATAATTCACACCAAACAAACAAAATAGATACAGGTATATCTATATTTATATACTTTTTCTGGAAATTCTTACGTTTAAGCCTTAAATACAGACAAATTTTAAAGTGATTTTTTGAATGACACTCAGGAATAATAGCTTTTGAAAAGGTTGTCAGGAATTAGTGTATAATTGACTCGAAAAGGCGATTGAAAAGAGATTTAAGCGATAAGTAATGCCTTAGATTTTGGTGGTTGTGGCGCAAAAAAAATTATTCAAATAATTTATTATTTCCCAAATTTATATAAATGACAGCATTATTATTATTACATTTATTTTTTGTCTGTTGGTTAATACATAATCTCCTTTCAGGGGTTTTGAGCGCCTTTTTATCGCGCGTTTCAATCGACGAAATGGTTTTACAACACAACACAAAATCATATAATAATAATCCTTAAGCGCCGGCCCTTTTTTAGTTGGCGTTCCGATAATATGCTTGAATACGAGTTACCACTCATACCATCTCATACCACACCACACATGCATATGATGTGGGATGGCTTTGGCGATGGATTTTCAAATTGAGTTCATTTCTCACTCGATATCAGATATATTGATATAATTTTATAATAAATTTATACCGAATAATAAGTTATACCGCCACTAGTGCTGCATATTGTAATGCATAAGTGGTGTGTATATATGAAATTGCTGTATATTTGATTGTTTTTGAATTTTATATATAATTTTTAAAGTGTTAGCCGAGAGAGAGAGAGAGAGAGAGTCGGGATGTGATGCCAGAGCCAGACTCTCGAGAGTATAGTATTACAGATGTATAGTATGTTTGCGTGGAGTCACTGAGAATATTATATAATTTTATTTTTTAAAATCTGATTAAACTTTTATATATAATATTTTTGAGAATTTGGTGCCGGAGTGAGAGATGAGTTGTTGTGTTGTATGTGTGGTATAGGAGATGGAGAGAGAGGATAGGGATTGGATGTCATGAGAGGTTGCAAAACATATCATATAATTTTTCACTGCTATAGCGAACAACAAAAATGTTTATACATTTTTTATTATTTTTTATAAAAAACAGTATATTATGTACAATATATATTCATTACAATATTTTACAATTTTCTTAATGCACTGTAGATTGTATTTTACAAATGTGTTTCACAAATACAAAACAAACTATTCATTCCCTTATTAGTGTATGGTTATGGTATTATTTGTACTGGACAAAATATTTGGTCTATATTATAAATAATTTTGAATTTAACTAATATTACTAATTGTATGCCTAAGATATACGATTGTGAACTACAAAAAATATTATTAAATACTTTTAACAAATTGTGTGCAAACATTTCAAAGTTACATTAAAGGGAATTACAATTATTTCGTACAATGAAATACTGTCCACTCGTTTTCAAATTTAATTTTTGCATTGTTTTGGTATATAAGTGAACTAAAATATATATATAATAATTGTAATTAACTATACATTAGATTTGTTATGAAATCGATTGAAAGTTGATATTCAGTGGTGTAGTCATAATAAACTAATGATCATTTAGTTTAAAATATCAAGTTTTTCATAGTTGCAGCGATTTCTCAATTATAGTATGTATAATAATAAATAAGTTATATTTTATTGTATTTTAAATTTATTATAACAATAATTAGATTAACTTTTGTTTTTATACTACAATTCATATATAATATATGAGAGAACACAGGATTGAGAGACAAAAAAGTGTTATTATCATTTCAAATGGATAAACATATCATTATTATTACAGTATATCTATATTATAGTCGCCTTAGAGCTGCAAAACTGTCTAAACATTGTCTTAAATGATACAAAAAACACAATTGAAATGAATTGAAAATATGACTAAAATTCTAATAAAATATATTATCATTAATAATAATAATAATTAGTTGCAAAATACAAAAAATTGATATCCATTTGCATATAAACACCGAAACAGTGGGTACAGGCGCTCATCAATTGGAATCCGCGGCCTTACGACCGGCGGTCAGACCGAGAGGTAGTTGTGGTGCCGATGCCGACGTCGGCTGACCACCCATAGGACCGCCCGGCCAGAGGTGAGGCGATTGTGAGGCGGCCGCTAACGCTAAGGCCAGGGATTGGGGCGCCATTTGGGGGCCACCCCTAAAACCGGGCGACGCCGCTGCCGATGCCAGGGCCTGGGCGTTGTACCAGCCCGGGTAGGCCGCCGCTGAGGCCGCTATCAAATTGTACAGATCGCTGGACATCGGTATGCTGTTAGGCATCCCTCCAGAGGTGGGCGGCGTTCGCCACATCATAGGCGGCGCTCCCCTCATGAACTGAGGTGGCGGTGGAGGCGGTGGGGGACCGATGAGACCGGACAGGTAGGCTCGCTCGCGGAGCAGGGCGTTGGTCTGCTCGTCGCCTGAGGCGAAAAAGTACGGCGGAGGCATCGGTGGTCGGGGGTAGCCGTAGTTGTCGCCCATTAGGCTTTCCATCGTTTCGCTGTGAGTTATGGGTATTACACAAAAAATCATTGATTAAAATCTGGCAGATTTTTGGGACACATTTATGTGGCTATAAATTAGCGGAAGTTTACGCGCATTAATAATGTATGAAATGTGTGCGTGTTTTCGGGTGTATGGGTGGTGTTGGTGTTGGGGGGCCTGTGCTCTATGTACGGGCATATTGGGTGCCGATAGTGCGAGACCTACAGCAACACCAGAGCCTTTCACTCTCTCTGAGAGCCAAGACCTACCGCACAGGCAGTTATGAGTGGAGAATGTCTCGCACACAGAGAATATCGTTGAAATACAGTACAACCGAACCGTATCGCCGGCTCATAGTATATACATAGTATGCATAGGAGTCGTATGGATGTGCAAAACGCACTGTGCCATCGAGCACTGGTACTAATGAACTATCGTTTTCTAAAAGAAATGCAAAAATATTTGTGGTCTGTCTCTCTCGCTCTGGGATGTGGTGTTTCACTCATTCATTCAAAAAAGTCTTATGTCTTATAAGTGTTGCAAATATTCGCGACGCAAAGCACAGCACATATTCACACAACAGTTCATCGCATAAGACGTGTAGAGATTATATGCAAAAATATTTTCTCCAACATCTATGTGCTCTCTCTCTCTCTCTCTCCGCTCATCTCTCATTCTCGGCTCATAATCTCCCTGTGCTGTCAATTACATGACTTACGAAATAAGTTTAAGTTTTTAAGAGAGAGAGAGAGAGAGAGAGAGAGAGATTGTGTTACAGTGTGTGGCACTGGTTGTTGGGTAAAAGGATACAGCACTGTTATGTACCCACACATATAGACACACTCACACACATGGAGACCACACATAAGTCGCATCGCATTCTTGTGTGCCTCCAGTTGTGCACAAAAATTATTATTATATGCTTTGCTTTACACATCATTTTCTACATAAGAAATATTTTTCGTTGCATAACTTAATAGTCGCTCAAAGTATTTGTCAAATGAGAGCACAAAATATGTAAATGAATATTCTGTAAATAAGATAGCGATCCCAGTCCCCAATCTGCTAACATCCCTCTCCCACAAACCTTTTGTTATATAGTTAAACAACTTTTTTTAGTTTTAGATATCCATACCCTCACTAGAAATATGATGTAAATTACGAAAAACATTTGATACAAATATTTAGTATTTAGAGTAGCGTTGCATTGAGTGGTACTGTTCATCAGTGACAATTTAAATAGTCACTCCCCGTGTGTATGGCTATATTTATTAAGCTAAATGCATATAAACAGTACTAAAATTAAGCCAAAATATTTAGTGTTACTTAATATGAGTGACAATACTTTTGTGTGGATTCCTGACTATTGAAAGTGAAAGCAAAATGATTGGGCGAAGAAATGTCTAAATGAGTTGTGAATATAGAGTCTCTCTCTCTCACTGTATGTCACTATTTGTGTACTCTTTTCAACGATTTCTTTTGCTTTTCTATACATTTAATTCTCGATTCTTAATGAATAAGTTTTGTTGTTTTTGATTCAAAAGCCACTCAGAAATGGATAGAAATAGTGATATAAACGAGTGGTATATAAGTGTTAAACACGACTCACCGCTCGATATCTGTCAGTCGACTCGAATCACGGAATCCTTTGGCGAATGGATTGCTGTCTATCTTTAGTTTAGTTATCTGTTTGTCAAATGAAAACAAAAAACAAGAATTAGAGACAAGAATTGAAATAAATTTTACAAAATTATGTCTTTTCCACACCAGTTTAAAAGTGAGTTTTATATACCTGTCATAAACTCTTATCAAATATTAAAATCTGATTATTAAAACATGAATTCTTATCTTATATGAAAATGTTAATCCAGAAAGTGCTTTAATTTTAATGTTTTTTCAAATTGAATTTATTGTTTGCAAACACGAGATGAATATTGAGACCATGTTTATATATAAGGAATTTTATTTTTCAATTATAATTAGATATTTTTTGAGTTAAATATACAGAATTTGTCACAAATATTTGTGTTGGCAATTAATGGGCACAATAAAAAGTAGTAAAAATTATTGTAAATTAATGTGCATTTAAATACAAACTCTAATCGTCATTAATAATAGCGATAAATAACGATAAATTTAATAACAGATATAAGTAATAATAAGTTTCACTAAAAATTTGTAGTAAAATATGAAAATGATTTGCATTTTTGATCGATAAGAATAATAACGAGACGAAAGCCGCTATAAATTAGTTCACATATGAAACCCAATAAATTAGTGATTATTCTTACGATAATATTTAATATATAATTAAATATTTCAATATTACGAACATATTTCATAAACCTATAAGTGATACAAATACTCATGTAATAGAAAAAAGAGCCAAAAATTGTCAAGTTTTCAAACAAAAAACAACTTTAATTCTTGAATGCATTTCAAAATGTCTGAATAAAAATTGAATAAAAATAAGAGTTTTAGTGCCTAAAAATCCGATGAAATGGAAACTAAAGCCAAAATATTTTAGAGATATCTTAACCCGACGTATATTTATGTTAATGTTCTCGTAAAACATTAATGTCTATGCGTTTCCACTCGACTCGGAGTTAATTTTCTTATTAACTTCTCTTTTCGTTTCGTTTTTCGTTTCACTTCTTCTATACACCAAAACAAACCACAGAGTCTTCGCCTCTATATATACCACTCTATATATAAATATATCTTTTTTCTATAGCTATAAATACTGTTTATTAAGAAAGCTTTTAAAAAATTTGAATTATTTATAAGGTTTAATATAAGTAAATTTCAAACTTTACACAAAAGCAATGTTTCAAGAAGAAATAAAAGCAATGTTTCAGAGGTACGTCTCATTCTGGTCTTCCAGATATAATTAAATATTTCAATATTACGAACATATTTCATAAACCTATAAGTGATACAAATACTCATGTAATAGAAAAAGAGCCAAAAAAATTGTCAAGTTTTCCAACAAAAAACAACTTTAATTCTTGAATGCATTTCAAAATGTCTGAATAAAAATTGAATAAAAATAAGAGTTTTAGTGCCTAAAAATCCGATGAAATGGAAACTAAAGCCAAAATATTTGAGAGATATCTTAACCCGACGTATATTTATGTTAATGTTCTCGTAAAACATTAATGTCTATGCGTTTCCACTCGACTCGGAGTTAATTTTCTTATTAACTTCTCTTTTCGTTTCGTTTTTCGTTTGACTTCTTCTATACACCAAAACAAACCACAGAGTCTTCGCCTCTATATATACCACTCTATATATAAATATATCTTTTTTCTATAGCTATAAATACTGTTTATTAAGAAAGCTTTTAAAAAATTTGAATTTCACTCACTTTTCTGAGAGAGAGAGAGAGAGAGAGAGACTTGAAGACAGATAACAACTAATAATAAATTTTGTGATGATTGACATAAAAACTGAGATAAGTTTGTATGCAATTTAATAATTATTATTTCTCTCTCCATTAATTCCATTAAGAATTCTTGCTTTAAATTACTTTTTAGTTTTTAGTTTTCTTTCTTTCTTTCTCTCTTCACATAGAAATACATTTTTAAAATATAGAAGTTTTGCGTTGTTTTTGTGTTTCACTTAAGAAAACTTTGAGGTATATTATAAATCTCTTATCAAATGTGAATTTAAGGCCCTCAAAAACACTCTCAAATGGTTTTTTGTGCAAAACAATTAAACTTATTTGATATACGAATAGATTTTTGTTTTAATTCGCAATTTCAGCGATAATCAGGTATTTATAAGATGTGAACACAGAGTGAGGAAAATATTCAATTAAAATAAACCATTAATAAATAACCATAAAACCAAATATATTCACAATAACAAGGAAAATATTATCGAAAAAATTAAAATATTTTTGACATAAAAATTATATGCTTTGCATACAAACGGTAGACTTGTTTGCAAAATATATTAATACACGGCTTAGGATTTAGCAAAACAAGGCATTCCTCGACGATTAGCTCCTATTATTCATAAGTAGTTTTTGACGTACAGACGAAAACTTTTTGAAAACAATTCTCTCACTTTACTTCTCTCTCTCTCTCTCTCTCTCTCTCTCTCTCGGCATAAAAATCTCAAAACAATAATTTTGCGCAAAAATTCCTGCGAGAATTCATTTGAATAATTTATCGCGTTTTATTGAGCCTTTAGTTTTATGTATCGATTTTTAATACACGGCTTTCCCATTCACTCGGCAACAGATTTTTTTCGCCGAGAGATTGATTTATAGGCATAAGAAGCTACTAATCTATCGGCACTTTTACATAATATATTGTGCAGGTGTTGCGGGCCAACCATTTCCATCAACTAAAGGCTCAAACATGTGCACACGAACTGCACAAATGCCCGGCCATAGTGTGTATATACATGTTTTAAAACTTATTCAGTAGTATATAATATGATACAATATAATATAAATGGCTTTTTATATATTTATTGTTTAATTGTGTGAGCATTTGATTCATTCGCTGCTAAGTCCTACTGATCGGTTGGGCTGTCGTCTTATTATTGGCACGTTTTTTAACGACCCCTGAATCCGGTGCTCCGGGGCGTCACACATATAGTTAGCCCATTAGAGACGATTGCGTACACCATTGCCATTAGACACTCACTCACACTCTCACACACACTCTCACACACACTCTCTCCCTCTCCTATTGTAAGACTTTTAGACAAAAGGGTGTTATTGTAGTTGACGTGAAAACTTACGAAACATATATAATAAGTCTCAACACATTTTTAGCATTTCGTGTCTATTCTATACAATATGTTTTCACTTTTACTTTGAATATTTAATTAATAATTTTTTGTTTTTAGTAACACCTATACAGTAACACAGAAGTTAGGAATTGAGATATTTATGAATAATGCACTTAATATAAGGTTTAAGATTTAGTTTATAATAACTATTCTCATTAATAAATAAAAATAAGCATACATTAAATATTTTTGCATTAAGTGAATAAAACAAATTTAAGAAGTTTTGAATTTAAAACAATACAACAACTAGAAATTAGCATAATACAATTAATGTATATTTCACTGAACACTTGAATCAAAACTTTTATTAGTTTTCACTAAATATTCTAAACTCATGTTTTAAAATCAGATTTCAAGTATTACTATGCTATAGAGGGTAAGACACAATTGAATGCAATGTATGGCTAGTGGTGTGAAGACATACCAATTGGTTTTGATAGGCAGTGACGGCAGTGAAGATGGACTCCGGGAAGACGAAAGTGCGGTAGAGTTCGGACTCGAGATCAGTGACGGGATTGTTGACTGTGTGCGGGTCGCGTCTCATCACGAGGTGCACCCGGGGCTGGTATTTGTGCATTGAGTTCAGCACAATCTGTATATGCAATACACAACAAAAAAGTTCATTAATTTCAATGATTGAGACTCTCAATGATTACATGAAATATAAATTCATAAATATCGTATACATTATAATCATTACAATATATTAATGCTATGCTTTTTATCGTTTTCATTCAGTCGTATAAATTATATGCAATTAATTAGCAGTTATTGTGTCGTGTGTGCGATATATTCAAAACTCATTGCGTGAATTGTGTGATACCCTACCCTTTCCGCGGTAGGACTGAGCGCTCGCTATTGAATAGTGTATTAAAAATTAATGCATTGTTTCTGCGTTTCAATTGTTATTTCAGTATTTTCTGTGTCGCAGCGGAAAGAAGTAGATTATCGGCTCAAAACAAATGCATTATAAAAATTGGCACTAAAAATGCATAATTTGTCTTTAATTGTATTATGAAAAACTCTATCACAACATAGATTCGTGTGGCACAGGTATTCAGTTTGTGTGCGCCGGCACTCATAGACTTAAACAGATTAGGCTTTGATATTGTTTTAGCCGCACATAAAAATAATTGAAACACTGATATTCATTAGGCGTAAAAACACGGGAATAGCTATGCGTTCAATGCAATCATAAAAGCAAATTATATATTAAATAAAAATACGCAGAGAGAGAGAGAGAGAGAGAGAGAGAGAGAGAGATGATAGCAAGCACTTGGATGGGTATGAATAGGAAAAGTAATTTTTAGACAGACATCGCGTGAGTTAATACAAGTGAGTCGAGTTATAGCGAGAAGGCATACAAGAGAGAGATCCCGGTGCCGACCGACTAACAGCTCTCACATACAAACACATTATATGTGTTCAGTCGATGAGCAATGGATTGTGTGGACTAGTATTCCCAACCAAACTGTGTGTATAATATAAGTTATATTCAGTATATTCTCGGCTCTAATAAAAGGAAATAAGTTTTTATTTTAATTTTATTTTTTGTTGCTTTTCGTTGAGATCGCATGCAGTCATTGAATATATATTCCATCACTTCATGAGTGAGAATAGGAGAGAGAATGGGAGAGAGATAGCGAGAGAGCGAATGGAGAGAGCAATGGTTAGGAACAAAAACAAAAAGCCTGGCGCACAGGCACTGCCTATAAGACTATGCATTAGTACCTGTGCCCAAGCAATCGCCTCAATAGCCTAAATAGCCTGGAGTTCCATTATGTCTGTAATTAAGGATATCAGAGAACTGCTGCCCATTAAAAAACATGAAAGAAGTCACCGACACATCCACTTGTGTTTCACAACCGATGCCAGTGTGTGGCGAGTCTTTCACAGCTTTCGGATGCCTTCCCTTCACCTTAATTTGTTATTATATTATAAGCGCACAACTCTCTCTCTCTCTCTCTCTCTCTCTCGCAATGTCTTAAATATTGTTAGAAAATTCGCCACTTTTTCGCCTCCGACTAACACTTACGCAACACAATAGGGGACAGACAGGTATTGTGGGGAACAGCAGCCGAAGTGCACACATTAAACGCGAATCTATAGTTAATATTTAGACACAGTCTTAGCACACAATGCCTGTTAAGACATACATATCTATCTCTCGTATGCCGTATATAATGAACAATAAATTCTTGTGTTTTTGTTTTTCATTCTCCATCTCTTCGTCTCTCAAATAAATTAGTAGTTTTCGAGATATTCTTGAAATTCAATTATAATTTTTTGTTTAGCACAACATCTTTAGATTATGTGTGGTTTTGTATAAATACTAAATTGATTGCATAGTTATTGTCTGTGCCATTGATTTGCAGACATTTATGTCTCAATCAAATTGAGTGAAACATTTGATTCAAATTGTAAATCTGTTTTGAGATTCAAATCAAATGGAAATTCTCAGGAGAGAGAGAGAGAGAGAGAGAGAGAGAGAGAGAGAGATCTAAAATTAGAGAATAATTATGAAATGCTTAAATAAATCTAAATTTTTGCTAACTATTCACTGACACAATAAGTATTCAGTAGTAATTAGTATTAAAATAAATACACGAAACAAAAATACATTTTCTAAATGTTTTTTGTTGTTTAATGAATAGAAAATGAAACTAAAAAACACAAAAAACAACTTAAAATTCTAGTCAAATATCACAATTAAAATACAATAATTAGCAATTGAATTAAAAAGTCAAGAAATATATAATGGACTAAAAAACTGAATGTTTGAATCATTTTGATTGCGTTGAGTAGAGACATTTCACGACAAGATTTATAACTCGCGAACCACAGCAACAACAGCACCGGAGGTTCATAAGTGGCTCAAACATCTCAGGGAGACTGAGTGGGGCGTCGTTTGCATGTTAGCACATATGCGTTGCCTACCAGTGCTTCATATTATGCAATATTTATTTATATTTTATATATAATGCCATATATACTGTATGTGCATATAATAGCTGCTATTATTTCAGACAATTCAGTCGCTCATTAGGCATACGATTTGCGCTTAAATCCAATGAATTCATTGACTAAATTAGATAATTAATTATATTCTGGCGTTAATTTTAGCGCAAACTATTCGCACACAACACACACACTGTGTTTAGGCTAACGATACGCTTTAGATTAATGAATCTTAATTCACAAATAATAAATGTGCTGGGTAAATGACCAACGCTTATAATTTATACATTAAAACTTATATCATATAAATTTTTAATTAAACTAAAAGAGATTATTCACTTATACGTACAGGTCCATTGTTTGCTCCACCATACTGTGTATTATTTGTGAATTAAGATTTACGGATTATAAGTAAGCATCATGGTCAGGCAGGTCAGTATCAGTATACATACGTGTCCACTCTTATCCATCTCATTGTTGGTGAGTTTGACTTTTTCAAACGAAACCACTTGTTTGCGTAATTGGTCGCCACTGTAGGGGGCGTCGGGATGGGCGTACAGCCTGGCCGGCGACGGGGGGTCGGCCTTACCGGCCACTAACCACGAGCTGCGGTGGTAGGCATACCGGTACCGCTTGTTGTCGACCGGCACGATGTCCATCAGCACCAGATACCGGGCGTCCAACTCGATGCCCGTGAATGAACAGCGCAGGGTTGGGAACATACGCCTGGGTGAGATTTGAAAATAAAAGTTTCGTTTAATTTAATGCATTAATTATAAGTTTTAATAGTTTTTCGATGTAAGACAAACTTAATTTAAATATTAATTAAAGGCTTAATTAGTTTTAAACGCGACATTCAATGTGTGTGTTATTCGTGTTGTTTTGCAACCATTCATTCGCTTATCATTAAAATCATGGCAAGAATTCGGGTTTTTTCACATAATTATCATTAGAGTCTAACCGATGGATACAGCGATAGCTTATAGACAATCGACGTCTTTGACTAATTCCTCTAATGACTGTTCAGAAGTTATTTTCGGTGATAATTAAATTCAACAAATTATTTACAACTATTCACTGCAGAGTTTTGAGACTCATTTTCGCCTTAGTATTCATTGCGGTCTCAGGAATCGATTCACTCATAAGAAAACAGACATTAAAATCAATTTTCCAAATAATTTTTGATGAATTAAAGACCTAACACATGATTGAACCCCAAATTAGATGCTCTCTCTCTCTCTCTCTCTCGCAATCGATATAAATATAAATGTATTTTTTCATGTAATGAAAACAGATTTGTTTCACGTAATGAATAACAGAGGAGAGAGAATATTATATGAAATTATTATGTGTTTCGGGAAATATAGCGTAAAAAACTTAGATTAGAGGGCAGTCACCGAAATAAACACACCGAGCGATACATATACCCCAGAATTGGTCTAATAATATATTATTAAACTCTAAGGCCTTACACATACACACGGCTATGACATGCCTTAACACCAAGAAATGATTGAGCGCTCACCTGATCGTTCACTTTCTAATTTGTTTTCTATTCATTTATACACTATTAAGACCTCTCAAACATAACACCAGGGTCTTTATGTGTTTCAAATCACTATCTCTTTTGTGTTACTGTTTTCAAATCGGCCTATGCTTTGACAGTACTTTACGTATTTATATTGCAACGAGTTTTCACTACTTATTGGTGAATATAAAGAGAGAGAAAATTAGCGAAAAAATCTTTCGTATTGTTTCGCTACCGGCTATCACTTCACAGAGCACCGGGATATGTTTGTACAGTATGTATCGATGTGTTTGTATGTGCGTGCAGTGATTGGCACAGGTATACAACAACAAAAATAAGGTTATAATTGCCACAAAGTTATTGATAGGTTTTATTAAATAAGAAACTTTTTTCTTGTAAATTAAATGAAAATATATTACATGTAAACGAGTTTATTATTAACGAATTGATTGTGGCGTTAGATATAATGTCATATTTTCTGAGATAACTTTCCTCTTATATGCATGTAATGGTCAAATGAAGTGCCGTTTCACTAGTATTGGGGGCAATGAATACCCGTTCCTCTCATTATTATTATTATTAGTTATTATTATATTATAATTCTTTGAATCTCACCGTCGATTGACTGTATATTTCTAGTGTTTTTCATACGCTATTAAACAGCGGCTCTATTTATGTTTCATAATATATTTATAAGCGTTTTTCACTCATCTCTCTCTCTCTCTCTCTCTCTCTCTGGCTGTAGTTTCTCGACTCAAATATAATAAATTGTCTGAGAAGTGATCCTAAAGTGATTCTATACCTCAATCTCTCTCCAGCTCTCTCTCTCTCTCTCCTGCTCTCTCAATGTTTCAAAACAGCGGCTCTCTCTCTCTCTCTCTCTCTCTCTCTCGTGAATCGCTATATTAAAGTCATGAGAAGACTGTTATTAAAATGGTTGAGCGCTCTCTAAACTTATTGCCTAAATATAATAATAATAACTAAATCATTGCTATAATGCTAGAGACGAGTGTATAATCAGTTTCCCATTTAATGAGCGCCGCATTCGGCTATTATTATAGTGTAGTCCAGAAATATGAAAATTAAATGAACACACAATCACTGTGTATGAAATGACATTAAAAAATATACACCGTTTACGACACCATTGTATGTATAAAAGTGCGACAAAAAACACATTAAAACATAATTTATAAGAAATATAATAATAAACACTAAAACGCGAGGATATTATCAAAACACTTCGTTGTTTAAGGCATAGAATGGATTAAAAAAGTTTTAATACTTTAATACTTTTAGAGGTAAATAAAAATCTGATGGTTATGTGAGTACAGCCAGAGATGTGCTGTTGAGGGCTGTGCTAAACGGTCGAAGCGAACGGTCATTTGGCACAAGACATAGCAGTCGTAAATGTATTAAACATATATTATTTGTATACAATTACTGCGTGTGTTTCGGCACAAGTCATAAAAGTTTTACTTTGATTTTGTTTGTTAAGAGTTTGTCTGACTTATGAGAGTGTCATAAAAATTCTTTGCAATTCTCAAATTGTTTTAAGGGTTAATTCAATTTTCAATTTATGTCTTATATGTGAGGGGGGAGAGAGAGAGAGAGAGAGAGCATTGAAAATTAGAGCTACCCGGGATATGTATGGCAAGTATATTATATGTATTCATAACTGTATTGAATATATAGAGAGAAATTGATGTGAATATGGGATCCACTCGTGAGCTCCAGAATGGCAACAGAGAGGAACAGATGGACGGACCGACACAAACATGAAGTGGTGTTTCATTGAGTGCGAGTGTGTGGGCACCGGGCGTATAGTCACCAGAAATAGTCACATCTCTGGCTCTAATGTGTGACATACTGTGCATTCATTCATTATAACTCGTATAACATTTAGTACATTATAACCATTATATCTAATGGCAAAAGAGTGCCAAAAACAGTGGATAACGCTATCAGTATGTATGGTATGGTATACTCCTGTGCCTCTCAGATGGGCCTCTCATGATTCGATGGATTGGTGGGCTCCGGGACTCTCTGTGACTAAAACTCGTCAATGAGTGAGTGCGAGAGAGAGAGAGAGAGAGAGAGAGAGAGAGAGCTGAATGAGAGGACAGATCGGGAAACTGGAGACAGAAATGGCGAGAAATACGACGACAAGGGCTGACAATAGATGGGCTAATGAAGCAAAACTGTGGCCCCCGTTGTAGTGACAATGAATGTAAACAAGCTTATTAACTGTACCCGAGTATATACTCCACGGCCCTCTATAAATACTATACACACACAACAGGCTAACAATCAATAGCTAGGACTAAGTGATGGGTGCGATAGTCAGTCACTTTTAGGCCAATTGTTCGCATTATAGCTCACAATTCAATTGCCAATAGGTTTGACTTCGCTATAAAAATACTACTCATTCACTAGTCGTCTCGCAAACTCCTGTATGTCGTCGAGAGAGAGAGAGAGAGAGAGAGAGAGAGAGAGAAGCAGTTCTACAATAGACACTCCACTCTGTGAATGGTTTGACAAAAATACACACAATAGACAACTGAGAGTGGAGTGGAAGTCAATGTTCATCACAATTGGAGTGTTGTTAGTGTGAGTATAACAACACTCTCTTCTCATATAATCCTAAAGAGTATGTGATATACACTCAGACTATAGACACGAATACTACAGACTATCCTCCAAAACCATCGCAAAGCCATTTAGTGAGTCGTTGTGTAGATTTGCGGCCGAAATGTATTTTTCTCATTAAAATTCTATACATTCTCTCAGAAATTCAGTGACGACTAGAAAGTGAGAGAAATAAATCATTTTTCTCTCTCTGCCGTTGATTTATACTCACTGTTGATAATTATTTTCCCATAATTTAATTAATCAAATCAATTCACTTTTTTCCTTCACTGTCTTTCACACTCTCTCACTCCAGTCTCTCTCTCTCTCTCTCTCTCTCTCTCTCTCCCTAATACACACTCACTCACAGTATTTTCCTCTTATTTATCAATTAAGTCACTTATAGTGTGAAAATTTTCCCTGAATAAAATAAAATCTTTAAAAAGGCGATTCCAAAGACATGCACTTTCGATATAAAAGCATTTTTCGATATAATATCAGATTTTTAGCGGACACTCAATAGCGTGTATAGACAGTAGAGTGACTGAAGAGTAGTCCGTAGGTTAAGGAGCAATAAGTCACTGAACACACAGTGTTTTGTAACAACAAAAAGGCTGAGAGCGAAGGTATAATAGAAAACATTTGTTCAAATTGTAGGCAAACACATAGAGTGAGGGCACTGTTAGCCTGTTATAGCGTTTTATTGTGTAGTGAGTGTTGGCGAGTGAATTGATTCACACAATCGTGATTCAAATAGTAGTGAAATAAATGACAGAATATTTCACAGAATAAGAGGCGAACAAAAAATATTCTGTTGTCATAACCGTATGAATGGATAATATCTGCTATGAATCGCTCTCAGAGATGACAAGAGAGACAGAGAGAGAAACTTTTCTGTGCTATTATTTTGCATATTATTTGTGTCACACATATTATACGAAATTTTTTGGCAAACTCTGGCCAATAGGCAACTAATTCACTGCACAATACAATATCAGATATCGTGAAAATGCAGTTTCAATAGTTTTTTGTTATACACACTCACTCGATGAATACCTGTGCTAAATGTGCGTACAGTATAGTCTGTGTGAGTGGAGAATACCTTTCCACTCATTTCACTGGACACTCAATTGTGTCAAATGTTATACAATAATAAGAAAAAAAGTGGGCAAAAGTGGAGGCATATAAAAGTTGTGTGAAGTATATAATAGTTTGCAAATCTGTTGCCAATAAAGTACTGGTGATATAAATAGTATGAGTGATAGAGAGGAGCATAGCTGAGAGGCCCCGGGTATTGGCTTTTATATATCGCATTCATATTTATAATGAATATCCGACCGATAAATGGCAGCAAATTTTTGAAAAACACATTATATTATACACTTTATATGGAATCTTGTTTTCATAGATGGTCTCCCTTTTTCCGGTAGGCAGGCCTTAGCCTATATATAAAAATATATAACAGGGATAGATAGGGAGACCTATCATCTATTTTGTATGAGTCCATAAAAAGACATTCTGTGTGACAATTCTCAGTCGTTGTGTATAATGTATAATGAAATGCACGCAATGGTAGGCATGAGAGGCAGTCACTCGAGTCATGTGAGTGAGTGAGAGGGAGAGAGAGAGAGAAAAGTTTTCAACACAAATATTTTTAAGCCTATATTAGATATACAACACACACACTGTGAAAAAATTCACTGTATATTAAAAAGGGGAAAAACGAGAGAAAATTGCACTGAAATACGCTTTTGTGAGACGAGATGAGTCTCGGCTAATATACAGTACTTAGCATTTCAGGTCTAAAATGCTATTTTAAATGCTATGCTATTATGGCTAAGCGTTAGTCGACTGAACAAAATATGAAACAAAAACGACTCGAATGAGTGCTTTGATTACGAGATTAAGTTCTTGAGGAATATATGTCTGTATATGTCTTATATATATACCACTGCGAGAGAGAGAGAGAGAGAGAGAGAGAGAGAGCACTAATGGCTGCACACAAGCCATAAAATTGATGGCCTTTTTCTCTACTGCTTATTGAGTTTTATAACTTCGTTGTGCTAATCGTTATTATCTGCAGCTCTAAGACTATTATATCAATGAAATAGATGTGGACTTAAAGTGAGAAGTGGCCATACCTTCCAGTTTTGGTGAATTAGTAAAGCCACGGGTTGAGCACCTTGGCCAGGGTCTCAAGGAATAAGAGCTCGGCTGTCAGTTGGGAAAGGTCGAGTCCTGTCAACGTGAACCCAAAGTTGTCCTCTGAACAGGGGTTGGGCTCTGATTTTCCGTCCGCCCGACCATTCTCTTTGACGGACGACGTGGGCGACGGCGACCGACACGACGGCGACTCAGACAGAGATCGGTCTCCTGTGGTCGTCGCCGCCGAACACCGACTCTCGCGACCGACGGACGACGAAGAGCTCGGCGGTCGGATGTGATGGTTGAGCGACAGGTCGGCCGACTCGGAACCGGGCGATAACGGCGGCGAAGAATTATAGTTTGATATGAACTCCGATTTAAGGGGGGATGAGGTGGGGCTGGTAGCCGAAGAGCTCAGGTATGCCGACATTTGTAGCGCTAAGAGATATTTGAAAGAAAATGTTGTGTTATTTAATGAATTAAATTCAATTTAATAAAGTTATGGTGAAAGTTATTAATTATATTAATTTATATTATTTTTAAAATTTTATTAACATTTGTTATTAAATTAAACTATGTTTAAAATTAAAATAGTTTTTTTATAAAGTAAATTTTCATATGCATATATCTATTTTTAATGTTAATATCACTTATATGTAAATTATGTATTGATATAAAGAAAGTATTAAGTAATAGTAAAAATGAGTGCTAAATATTGTATATTCAAGGCTTAAATTAAATTTTTGTAATCAAGGTTACCATAAATCACAAAATGTTTCAGTAAAATTATTATTTTAAACTGTGTTTAACTCAACACATATAAATTACTACAGCATATTTAAGCTAGCATAATGTTCACACGTTTATCTAATGCGATACCCGGATAAATTTTGCCAATTGTTATCAATATCTGTTTGCCAAATATTTTGTCATCAAATATTTAACACATTGAGGTAAACAATATTAAAGGCTTACAATTTTCTTATAATATTATGCACAATATCAGCAAATTACTTCCGAAATAAGCAAATTGTACATGGTACTTATAAAGGCTTTCGAAATACAGTATACTTATATGTAAGTAATCTACAAATGATTAGTTACGTACAGTTATAATAAGTGAAGCAATAGTTTACATAACAAAAAAAGTTTACAATATGTTTGAACACATATTATATACAGAATTAGATCTAATGAATACACGAAATCAAATGAATGATCTAATTATGAAATATGGGTTACCTTTGGCCGAGTGATGGGACGAGTCGTCCGACCCGACGCAGTCTGCGGTGACGCCTAACCGCGGGGACGGGCGGTCGGTGTCGGCGCGACGACCCATAATGGCATCGATGGTGAAGTCGGTGGCGGGCCTTGCGGTGGACGGCAAGGGCACAGTCGCCGCTCCGATGGCCACAGGTTTGCGCGAGTCTTGCATTTTAGGGGACTGTCGTCGCACGCGTACACACGACACAACTTGACGACTGACGGGGATAGGGATGTGCATCAGTGATGTCCACTTTAGCACATATACTCACTCCACTCACTCTCTCCGGTAGTGATGACAATAATATTGAAAAACTTTTTTCTCGTATATATAAATAATTGCGACAAATGATGATTAGATGTCTAACGAGTGTTTGGTTCAGTTCCGAGACTCTGATATAACTAATGAAATGCAGACTCCGATCGACCGCTCAATGAGTGACACATCGTATCAGTGATGAGAGAGTAGGAGAGAGATGTCTGTGAAGTCTGGACACGGATTGTCTTAATTAATGCCGGTTTTCACACTAAACACCAAAACTTTTTGCAACTTTTGACAGTACTCTGTGTGTTAGCACAAGTCGTGTGTCGCATATAGACTTCATTTATACTATAGTCATAGCCAGCGATATACTCATAGCGTGTATGAAGTACTGGTATAAGTTATTTGTGGTTCACAATCGCCGAGAGAGCACTGGTAGTTGTGTGGAAAGGCATACATACACGGCCTCGTCGATTGCAAGGGGGCCGGCCGTGTGGGCAGTGGCTGTGGGAGGAGTCAACCAGTGGTGCAAAATCTAGTCAATTGATAGAAAATTACGTCCTTTTTATTTCTACTATAAAATACAATTAAATCTTAAATAATGGTTTAATTTTTTAACAAATGAACAGTGACAGCTATTTTGGGTACTTAATTGGGTACAGTATGGCTGGAATATTTATCTCTTAAAAAATTATTAAATAATTTAAAGTTTAATTTGACTTCAATTTAAAACTAAATTCACGTAATTTGTCATCATGCACAGTTTTTCTACTATTACTATTAAGCTAGCGTTGAGTTACTATTGGCTGTACTGTAGTGTTGGCAGTGTTGCAGACATAGCAACTAATTCACACCAAACGGCTATAACTTTTAGACCACTGTTTACCTCACGGATTGACTATTGTTTAGTCAATTCTGACTTAAGATTCTTGACTTAAGAATACAAATATGTAAATATGAGCAATATTTTACGACCAAAATTAAAATCTTATTGAAAATAATATTAAACTGATTAATTATGTGTTAACGTGCAAGGTCAACACTAAACAGTTATATTCAGAGGGGTAGGGTGGGGTGGGGGTAGTAGTTTGTTACACTACATTTAACCCATAATTTTGATATAAAAAGTATATTAAAAAATACAAAGTTAAATTTAAATGGGTCTTAATTTTTTTTTAAAAAGTTTGATCACATGATGTATGAATTATAATCCTTACATGTAAGTGTTATATTAAGTCAAATCTAATCCATTGGTTACAAAACATACAGTATGTGTAGACATAACTTGTTAGACAAGACAATAAAAATGTATTTTATGTGACATTTATTTGTATGTCTTTTGCTGTCATCAATAATAACCCGTTTTGCATATAAATGCAAAATTATGGGGACATTCAATAAGCACAGACACACTTAAATGTATAATATATAATATTAGGTGGTGGATCACTTTTATCTAAATTTTCATACGTACTTATCGATTAGCCCCGGTTACTGGACGTGATATATCTATATGAGAGGGGAAAGGGCTATCGATGGGACACGTATTCCCCGGGAGTTCCTAATTCTCACGACTCGTTATTATGGACTCAAAGAGTGAGAAACTATTTTAAGAATTTGAAGACTTTTCGCAAAAAATGTTTGAAATGTTTTTTAGGAAAAGAGTTAATGTAATTAAATTTGAATTAAAATTTTATACTAAAAACAGTACCTTAGTTATGCTTTCAATAATTGATATTAAAAATATTTATGTACCCTGAATATATAATAATAATCTAATATATGCAGTAAATTAATTTGGCATTGCATTCATATATTCCGTATATTTGAGGCTATATTAGCATAAATATAGTGAAACCCATTCATTCATAAAAAACAACTAAAACTTTATGAGTTGTCTTTGAATTGCAAAAGAGTTACCAAACATTGAGCCCAATCTGTGGTCGAGAGAGAGAGAGAGAGAGAGAGAGAGTCGGTAGTTGTGTCTGAATATATCAATGCGTTAATTGCAGCCAAACTTTGTCACTACAACGGGGGCCACAGTTTTGCTTCATTAGCCCATCTATTGTCAGCCCTTGTCGTCGTATTTCTCGCCATTTCTGTCTCCAGTTTCCCGATCTGTCCTCTCATTCAGCTCTCTCTCTCTCGCACTCACTCATTGACGAGTTTTAGTCACAGAGAGTCCCGGAGCCCACCAATCCATCGAATCATGAGAGGCCCATCTGAGAGGCACAGGAGTATACCATACCATACATACTGAT